TACAATTTCAACTGATAATTTGTAGGTTTCTTCTAAGTGGTAGATCTTGAAGATGTTGGTGTTAAAATAAGACTATATCCTTGTCTTTGAGCTTTGAGACATGGCACATTAGTTATGAATCCCGATTTGAGCTTTTCACACATAGGTAGAAAGTGCCTACCAATGTTGGGGTCTAAGATAATGAATTAGAAAGGGGTTCTTATACAAATATTGCCCAATAAAAAACAATGACGTTGTAGAGAGAATAAATATTATTTTGTAAAGTATTATACATGATGATTAATGCTATTGTTTTCAATCTATGAAATGGAGTTTTAAATTATGTTAAGGAAATGGCTTTATTTGGTTCCTAGTTCGTTTCAGCATTTTTGAAGTTGAGTTTAGGGGGTGTACTGTTTATCTATTTTATCCGATTCAAAGTTATATGCAAACTAGTTCATGGCGGTCCAATGATTGAATGGTCTACTTCGAATATCATGATTCGAGTATTTCTATTTCGAGTCTTTATATGGTTCACTATTGTGGATTAGTCTGTATTTCGGCGAGGAATCTTCCAATTATATACACATATTAGTTGGTCTAAGGCCATCTCCAACCCAAAACTCTATTTTATATTTAAAAATGGAGTAACTCTAAAATGAAGTTGTGTTTTACTTCAAGCATGCTCTATTTTGGAGTAAACAATGGAGTGAATAACAAAAAAAATAGAATGATAAATGGAGTTACTCCATATTTGGAGTAAACCTACCTTTTACTTGATTTTGAAGATGGAAATAGAGTGAAAATTTGACTGCGCACTCCATTATAGAGTGAAAAATAGTGTGGGGGTTGGAGATGCCCTAAGACCTGGAATGGAGAACTGGAATGTTTCATGCAATGTCAAAAGACCCAATTAAAAAAACAAAGAATGAATAACAAAATCGCTTATTTCATTTACACATGGTTAGCTACTAACCTACTCCCCTGGGTTGATATTTGGTGTTTTTATACCATAAACCCATACTTTTGCCATCTCTTATCCATGAATTTATAGCATTTGCATTACATTTTGATAATTTCATTCTCATTTTAATAATTAGATGCATGGTAGAGTTAGGACATGTACTTGTGCATTTTGGTCCTTGTTTTGGTTTAATTTAGGTACTTTTGAAGTTCTTAGAGCTAAGAGGAAGAAGAGGATGGTAAAGAGATGTAAGGAAGTTGGAAGCATGGTTCAAACAAGCAAGGAAATGAAGATTTGGTCGAAGGTGCATTCATAATTGGTCTACACCGAGTGGAGCAACGCGAGTGCATGACCACTTGGTCATGACCGACTGAAATGACTTCAAGTGAAGTCACCAAAATGCATTTGGTTTTCGCAGCATGAATTTCACTTGGCTTCTTGACCGATTAGAGCGACACCGAGTGGAGTGCAGTTAATTTTTAATGAGTTATCGTTGACTTTTCTAGTTTGACCCGGGTCCGACTCGGTTTGTTTTGGATCGACCCGAATACATTTTTAGGGGCTATAATACAATTTAAGAAGAAAAAACACCTAAGTTTGATATGCTCTTTACCTCTTTTAGCTTTCACACTCTTTTTTTATGATTTGTGTTTGGATCTTTTACATTTGCTTAATCTAGTGAAGTTTTCTTTAAGTTTTTGTCATTTCTT